AAAAAAAAAAAAGGAGAAAAAATTGAGCCGACCCCACTTGGCTCGCTAAGGCTCGAGCCGAAAGCTCGTGTCGAGCCTTTTTTTTCATCGAGCTTTTGCTCGGCTCGACTCGGACTCAAAAGAAGCCCGTTTCATTTTACTCGAGCCGAGCTCGAGCATTGAGTTTCAACTCACGAGTCGGCTCAACTATACTTGATGACATCTCTATTCACAGAATGGGGAGGGGAGGAACAGATTTTTTTTGCCCCATTCGAGACGGGTTATTTTGCCATATCTAGTTTGTAGCTCTAAAGCCTTGCTCTACTCACTCAAGCTACACATCATCATTACAAACACAATAAACCTTCAAATTCGAGAAAATATTTAACATATTTATAAATAATGATAAAAATCTCAAACATGGAATGAAATTACAAGTTATATAAAGATTTAGAAAAGAAAAGAAAAAAATCTTACTTTGATGTGACAAAATTCTTATATTATTTATTTGAATATAAATTTGTCAAATCAAATTTAAAAAGAAAAGTATTTACAACTGTGAATATTATAACGCAAAAATCAGAAGGGCACATAGAATTGATACAAACTAAACATTCAAGAAGCTCATGGATGTGGCCGGATTAATAACAATTCAATTGAAAGATAATTGTGGTTCGCCAATTAAAATGTAGGTTTCATGTCTGTGGAAATTAAACCTCGAGATAATTGAATTAATGCTATTAATCAAAACAAAAAATATATTTTTTTAATTTTTATAAATTGTTATTTAAGGTCATCTTTGAGCTCCTTGAACAACATTCATTTTTCAATTTTATTTGAATTAACGCTATTAATTAGATAAAAGATTTTTTTTTAAATCTCAAAAGGAGAAATATAAGGCCATCATTTGAGGTCTTTAAACAATACCCATTTTTTAATTTCATATTGAATAAATTGCATTAATACTGTTATAAAAATAAATGTAAGATTAAAAATATTAATTTATGAAATTATTGATCATTTTTGAATTTCATTTTAAATTAATGCTATTAATCAAGTGAATAGATTTTTTTTTTAATCTCGAAAGGGAAATTTATGGCCATTATTTGAGTTCATTAAACAACATCCATTTTTTAATTTCATGTTAAATAAATTAAATGAATATTTATTTTTTGTTTTTAATTTCAAAAGGGGAATTTGAGGCCATCCTTTTTATATTTCTTGAAATTTTGGTTTGATTTTTGGATAGCCATTTGGACAAGTACTAGTGTTTCAAGACGAGAGCTTTAACTGTTTGGTAATTTCTACATACTTTTGAATTTTTCATTGTTTCCTATGTAATGGTTTTATTCGCCTCTATTATTATTATTATTATTATTTTTTTTTTGTTGTCCTTCATATATATATATATATATATATATATATATATATACCGAGCCAAGGCTCGAGTTGAGCCCCATTTTGAGGTTCCGGGCTTAACCAAGCCGACCTGTGTGGGTCGTCGGTTCAGGACTTATTTTTTCAAAAAAAAAAAAAAAACCCACGAAAAGTTAAAAAAGGCAGCCGCTATAAAACAAGGCAACAACTAAATAAGGTAGCTGGCTGCTGCCTTATTAATTATTAAAAAAAAAAAAGGAGAAAAAATTGAGCCGACCCCACTTGGCTCGCTAAGGCTCGAGCCGAAAGCTCGTGTCGAGCCTTTTTTTTCATCGAGCTTTTGCTCGGCTCGACTCGGACTCAAAAGAAGCCCGTTTCATTTTACTCGAGCCGAGCTCGAGCATTGAGTTTCAACTCACGAGTCGGCTCAACTATACTTGATGACATCTCTATTCACAGAATGGGGAGGGGAGGAACAGATTTTTTTTGCCCCATTCGAGACGGGTTATTTTGCCATATCTAGTTTGTAGCTCTAAAGCCTTGCTCTACTCACTCAAGCTACACATCATCATTACAAACACAATAAACCTTCAAATTCGAGAAAATATTTAACATATTTATAAATAATGATAAAAATCTCAAACATGGAATGAAATTACAAGTTATATAAAGATTTAGAAAAGAAAAGAAAAAAATCTTACTTTGATGTGACAAAATTCTTATATTATTTATTTGAATATAAATTTGTCAAATCAAATTTAAAAAGAAAAGTATTTACAACTGTGAATATTATAACGCAAAAATCAGAAGGGCACATAGAATTGATACAAACTAAACATTCAAGAAGCTCATGGATGTGGCCGGATTAATAACAATTCAATTGAAAGATAATTGTGGTTCGCCAATTAAAATGTAGGTTTCATGTCTGTGGAAATTAAACCTCGAGATAATTGAATTAATGCTATTAATCAAAACAAAAAATATATTTTTTTAATTTTTATAAATTGTTATTTAAGGTCATCTTTGAGCTCCTTGAACAACATTCATTTTTCAATTTTATTTGAATTAACGCTATTAATTAGATAAAAGATTTTTTTTTAAATCTCAAAAGGAGAAATATAAGGCCATCATTTGAGGTCTTTAAACAATACCCATTTTTTAATTTCATATTGAATAAATTGCATTAATACTGTTATAAAAATAAATGTAAGATTAAAAATATTAATTTATGAAATTATTGATCATTTTTCAATTTCATTTTAAATTAATGCTATTAATCAAGTGGATAGATTTTATTTATTTTTTAATCTCGAAAGGGAAATTTATTGCCATTATTTGAGTTCATTAAACAACATCCATTTTTTAATTTCATGTTAAATAAATTAAATGAATATTTATTTTTTGTTTTTAATTTCAAAAGGGGAATTTGAGGCCATCCTTTCAATTCCTTAAACAACACATGTTTCTCAATTTTATGTTGAATAAATGAAATTAATGTTGTTAATAAAAATTAATTTAACATTAAAAAGATTAATTAGGGAATTATTGACAAATGGAAATGAAAAGGAATTTTGTAATTTCATGTTCAATAAATTGAATTAATGTTATTAATTAATTATTAACAAGATGTCAATTAAATAAGTGTACAGTGGGTATGTAGTTAAATATTTAAATTGAATTAATGCTGTTAATAAAAAATAATGTAATTGATTAATTTAGGAATTATTGAGAAATGAAAAAGAAAAATGATTTTTTAAATTTCATGTTGAATAAATTGAATTAATGTTAATAATTAATTTTTAACAAAACTAAAATTAAATAAGGGTATATGGGTATATAGCTAAATATGTAAGGAAAAATTTAGATTTTAATAGTTTCAATTAATTATTAACAAAACTAAAATATAATAAGGGTATATTGAAACTGGTATTCAATTTATTTATTTTTTTCTTTTTTCTCAAAATATTGTAAAAAATGAATGAACTGCAGAAGCAATTATTGTGTTTACCATTTTCTGCCACATGGTTTGCTGCCAGAAATGGAAATAAAGTAAATCTTGTTTGCTGCTGACAACAAAAGCCACAAACAGCGGGGAGAAATTCACTGGTTTGTTGTTGAAAATAGTGATGGTGGAGCGGCGTCACGGTGGTTCCTATGGATATGGGTAACGGGTGGGACTTAGGTGGAAGAGTAAGACTTTCTTTCTTTTTTTTTTTTGCTTTTGTTTTTTTATATATAGATTTTCTGTTTTAATATTTGAATTAAAATAATAAAATGATTATTTTTACCCAATTGATTTTTTATTATTTTGAACAAATGGATTGAGAAGAAACTGAGGGAAACAACCATACGGATTAATGCTGCCAATTTATGAAAGATTAGAATATATATATTGAAAAAAAAAAAAAAAAAGGTTGGGACAAAAGTGTAAAAGAACGAGAAGGATGAGAGTGTTTGTTGCAATTTATTAGGGAAAAATGGACCAAGCTGATTGTACATGCCACTCACATATGCAGGGAGTGGGTGAATTTTTTTTTTTTATTATTATTTTTTATAAAGTAGTCGCTCACCCCCCATCCACCCACCTCAGTATGTGTCTGGCCTGTATAGGCCCTCTAAAACAGTGGCTTGTGCAGCCAGACTTATTCGGGAAAAATTCCCCATGTATATGTAATTTTACATCGTGTTATATTTACACTTATTTTTCCTTACAAGTCCCCAACAATGGCCCATTTATGGAGAAAATCTTTAGTAGGGTCATCGCACCATTCATGTGGTGCGATCGCCCGATGTCAAGGCTGCACCTCGACGGGTGGCCCACTCGCCTCAGGGTCCGTGGGTGGCCCGCCCTACTAAAAATTTTCTTCCATTTATGGGGGTTAAATACATCATACATAGCCGGCCACTGAACTTTCAACGCATGTGCAACTTGGTCGAAGATCCCTAATTTCTGGCAATCAGGACACCAACTTTAATTTGCATACAACCATGGTTGCTCTATCTTTTGTCTCAATCTAAACAACATGATAAGTTGACATGGACTTTAAAATTAATTGAGGGATGATGTTATGTCCCCATCACCCACATTAGATATACACTTTTAAAAAATTGCTCAAACAAAAGAACACATTTTTTTAGCGCATTGAACAACATACTTCAAGGAAGAGAAAAACATAATTTACGTAACTTATTGTTTTTATTTTCATATGCCATCCCTTCATTAGTTTTAACGTCCAAATCAACATATCACGATAGTTAACTAACGATGATAGATGGAGGCGAAAAAAAATTGTATGCAAAGCAAAGTTGAGTTATGAAAGACCCAACTGAATATTCATTGAAAGTATAATGACCGGAGATGCATTGAAACCTTCATTTATGTAATTTCCCCTTTAAATTTTCATGAGAAGTATCTTACACTTGTGTTAGTTTTGGATACATCAACATACGTGATATATTCATGTACTATCGGTATCTATAATTTGTAATTTCTCAATGAAAACTTTAATTCATACTTGACACACAACTTTTAGATCTCCGTGCAAATTTAGCAAATAATTACCCATTTATAATGTAAAGGAAGATAATAAATAGCAGGTGTGCTATAAGAGTTATTGTTACACACACACATATAGAGGTTTTAGTCAATTCAAATACTCTTTATAATAAAATTTGCAAGAGTATCTAATACAAAACTACATTTCTACAAACAATTTATTTATACAATATAACTATGAATTCAAGATTGACCCCATATCAAGAAATAATATTTCAGAACAATCATTAAAGATCTAGAAATAATCATGCAAAGTACATTTGACTTTCATTAATACCTTGATAAAGTCAAGAATTGTAAACAACAATTTTGACGAAAGTGAAGAGTTGATAAGTAAAACAATAGTAATTTCAGCTAATCAAATAGCTTGAAGTTTGTGTGAACTCATTGTTGTCATTTGTTGACAAACAACGCTCATGTTTATAGAGGATTTCACATATAATCTACTAAAGTTATTTGTTGTTTCAAAAATTCAAAATAAAATATTATAATCACGGGGCAAACTTGATTTTTCCAAATCAAGTAGACCCTATTAAACCAACTCATGTTATCCTGTTTGGTACAAATTAAAATCCAAAATTTAATTTAAGTCAAAGTTAACAATTAATTTTAATCACATGTTTCATTGGATCCACAGTTTTTCAACCATGCATTTAAAAAACTTTTTAGTAGATTTTGATCCCCACAAATTTTTAATAGATTTTGATAAAAGATGTTGAAATCTGTGGTTAAAAAGTTGAAGGATCCATGAAATATGTAGTAAAAATGTATTATTGACTTTGATTTAAATTAAAATCTGAATTTCAATCAATACCAAACAGGGGTTTATATAAGTTCCAAATTCCTCCCATAACATTACTCCGTCTCTAACATTAATTAACCACACAAGCCCTTTCTTCCTCTTCCATATTCTCCATGAAAGAAGAAGAACAACAAAACAGCAGCTTTTGTGTAAGGCAGCAATTGGGAGCTCTTGCCAGAAGATGCAGCCGGCTAGTGAAGGAGCAAAGAGCCAGATTTTACATTTTCCGGCGGTGTATTGTCATGTTAGTTTGCTGGCAAGACTACAAAGATTCTTGAAAATCTAGTTGTTAATTCTTAGTTTCTACCAGATTCAAACACCACTTCGATTTAGTCTTTTAAATTTTTGCTAATGTTAATGTAGAACAACTTGATATACATACAAATTTATAAATATTATAATTTCAGTATTATGAGTCTGCTTAGAATCGTACCTTGTGTATTTAGCAAAGAATCTAGTGGAACAAAAAACAATATCCAGTTGTTAATTCTTAGTTTCTACCAGATTCACACACCAATTAGATTGAGCCCTTTAAATTTTTGCTAATGTTAATGTAGAACAACTTGATATACATACATGTTTATAGATACTATAATTTGAGTATTATGAGTTTGCTTAGAATCGTACCTTGTATAGCAAAAAATCTAGTGGAACGAAAAACAAAATATATGTAATCAACTAGAGTTTTGTGTCTCTTGGCACTGGATCTTTAATCAAGTTGGTATCTAGTAGTAACACGGTTAATTTGCCTTCTTCTTTCATTTATTTCCGAAGAAGCAAGTTGAGGAAAACTTGAACATTTTTGGTACGCAATACACATCGTGTCTTTTCTATATCTTAATTATGTGAAGAGTTGTCCAATCAAAACATATATAATGACTTGTTTTACGTACTAGAGATGCACGTAAAATGGTTTTATATTTGTCATATATGTTTCGAAGAGCTAATTAAAACGTATGTTTAATTAGAAATGATAATGAGCTTGTTTACTATACAATGGAGGAAATTGTTCAATATTTTCAACTATTTGTTTTTTGGAATCTGAGATTATTGGATACTTCTTCTGAAATTACGAGAAAAGGGCGAAAAACAAGATTGAATATATACAATACCATACAAAATTAAATATGATAAATGCATAAATCGACAACAAGAATCCTTGGAAATGTGTGACCAATTGTTAAGGCCTTTTTAAAACATTTTTACATACAATAATTACTTAAATTACACTATCAAATATCAAGGACACATTTGCAGTTTAATTAATGGCAAGTACTATTTATTGGTTCACATTTATAGATAAGGGTTTCTAGATGTTCATGAGCTTAAAATAATTGATTCTTAAGGAGAAAGAAAATGATGTTTAACAGCATTTCATTATTAGTATTTTAACATGTTATGGCCAAGTTCATGAAGAACATTGATGGAAAATGTAAAAAGATCATAGAGAACTCACATTAACCAAAAAATATGGCATCAAAGAATTTCTAGACTATTAAGTTAATGAAAAATATTAAAAAAAAAAAAATGTACGATTCAAAGCGTATTCTTATCATATAGTGTTTGCAAGGAAAATTGATTGTTTAACACCATTTTTATAGGTTTAGAGACAAGTAGAAAACAACACATAAAGTCTAGATTATTTCTCTTAACAAGGTTGACATTTTTTTTTTTTTTAAATGGAACTTCATATCTTAATATTGTATTAGATTTCAAATGAGCAATTTGATACAGTTAAATTCAAATGAGCTTTCATGTTGCGAGACATGTTAAGAAGAGTAGTTTAAATCTTGTACAAGTTCTATTAGTTTCATTTTTAATCGATGCAGGATGATAGCACTTAACATAGTCACCAAGATAGTGACTCGTTTGAGTACATTATCAATCTTGGAATCCTAATGCTCGTTTGAACATAGTGAAATGCGGTTTAATGCGGATGTTCTCATTAATCCTATTTGTTGTTTTTAAGATTGTCTCTACACGAAGGGAGATGGGTAATGGTTCGAGCTTGTTTGGCACCTATTTATAATATGTTTATTATTAGTTAAATTATTTTTATCCATATCTTTTACAAAATTTATAGTATTATTTACCTCGCATTTCTATTTATTTATATTATAAACAACTGTTTGAAAGGCCCTCTAGTTGGTTTGTTTGGACTTGCACTTGAAGATTTCTCCAAAAAGTTCAAAGACTGACCCATCAATCACATGATTAAGGAAGTGCTTTAGTGTAATCATACCTAATCTCCAATTACTATTTAATTTAATTTATAATTAAGTCACTAGCACCAAAAGCCACGTGGCAGACTCCAAACTGGGTATGGACATGGGACAGATTCGATTATCCCGCGACTCTATTTCTTGTTTGTGCTTTCCAATCATCATCTTTTCATGTTTCGCACTGTTGATGATATTTAATGCTTATTTTACAAGTTTTCGTTAAACTTTTATCGACTTTTTAATTGATTCAATTTTAATTCTTAATCACACATCTCTTAAGAATTATAATTTTTTTTTATCAAACTTTACGATCATATTTCATCAATTTTTGTCAAAATCTACTAAAATTTTCATATAAATTTTTTTTCACCAAACGTTCATTAATTTCACGATCATAATCAAGTCATTTCAGTTCTAAAAAATTGAACATTATTAAAAATTATTCTTGAATTCAAGTTCAAGATTAAGAACATTTAAAGAGCTATCTAATTTGGTAATTAAATGTTTACGCAACTTGTCAAGGTGGAAGAATTTCCAAATAGCCTTTCCATAATATCAGATGCTTAATTGCAATTAGCAACAATCTTTTTTTGAAAATTTGTGAGTTAGATATAATGTTATGTGTTTATATCTTTCTCTAATATGAGCTATAGTACAAAGAAACTATCTTCGCAAATAAGAGAGAGAAATATCAAATATGGAGATCCACTAAACCGTGTTGGCCAAAAAAAGGAAAAAATCTCACTTTGATATGATGTTGAATAAAAGGACATATTAGATTACTTATTCATGCGCATTTTAGTGACCATAATTCTTATAGTCAATATAAAAAGTATATCATTTAAACTTATGTGGTGGGTTACATTATGGGTCTGAATTAGGTAGCAACGTGTGATATTCACGCGTTATAGCTCAAGCAACACTTATTTCCAAGCTCGAAAAGTTATAAGTATATGGTACAATGTCCTACTAAGTGTTGTACATGTCATCAATAGGGTTCAAATTGATAATGGTTGGGTGATAGATGGTGCAGTTGATTAGACTAAGCACCTCCAAAGGAGAGAGTCCCACCTAGTATTATAAAGAATATAGGGTCCTTTATTGTAAAATACCATTAATTTTTGGCAATTTTTGTTTTGTTCTATCCTAGCAAACTTGATAACCCTATCCTAAAAGTGTATAATGTGACTACACTAACTTTTTGAAAAGCAATCGGTCTAACAACCAAATGTTTGGAAAGATATATTGACACTTTTAGTTTTTAGTACTAAGGGTTTGTTTGGTGGAGATTAAAATAAAATTTTTAACATATTTTTATAAAAAATGATGAAATGTGTGATTGAAAAGTTGTGAATTCCATAAAATATGTGGTTAAAATTAATTGTTGACTTTGACTATTGTTACTGATCATACAAAATAGCCCACTTGGAAGTCCCATCTTCTACATGTCGCATTGGTTCAAGAAGGTTTATAAAAGATGTCAACAGCCGAAGCTGTTGCATTGGACACCGAGGTCATCTCAGTTGATTCCTACTTCTTTTTACCCGAAGTGGGTTTACTCCTTTTCTGTTGAGCTCCATAGCTTCCGAAGCCCTTGACATGCAGAAGAGGGTCTGATCAGCGTGTCTTTGAAATTGCTTGATGTGACGTTGTCTTTAAACAAGTGTCACGGATGTAAGCCTAGAGATTTAGAGTGGCTGACCCCTTATCAAACGTCTATCAATACAATTAAGGCGAGATAGAGTTGATGTGACATTAGGGTCTAGCATATCAGGCCACGAGGATTGGATCCAACGATGACCACGTCGGCCTGATCACTATAAATAGGCGATTCTTGTATCATTTAAAGGGATCTTTTCAATAAACAAAAAAGAAAACATAATATATTTCTCCAGCGTCCCTATCATCTTCTTCCACAAACATACTTATAATAGATATACTACCAAACGAATCCACGTGTGTATTGTTAAAAAAGACCCCTGTTAGCCATTTTCGGAGATCAACAACTTTAATTAAAATCTAGACCAAATAGGGACTTAATATAATTGACGATATGACCAATAAATTTTATTTTCCTTTTTATTTTTCATGTTGTTTAGCATTATTACTTTAATAACATGATATAAGTGGACAATGGGGTTGAACTTTCAAATTGTTAGTTCGAAAGTTTTGAGCTTAAAAATCGATGTCCTTGAACATTGCAAGTCTCCAATATTGAGTGTGAATATTGTGCATTTCTCTCTCTTAAACATGAAGAATATCGACACTTACAATATTTATAAAGAAGTTCAATGAAAAACTAATTATGGTTTGAAAGTGTACCTACTTTGAAAACTTGTTTGGGAAGTGTTTATTATTAATTTGAATTATAAATCTACAATATATTAAAAGTGGAGATGGTGGAGAAACTTTTAAATACCAAATTTATCCCTACATATTTAACTATATGCCCACTATACCCTCATAATTGGAATACCAATTTTATTAGTATTTATCATTTGGTTTAGAATTAATATAGTATAAGGAATGAAATATTTAATTGATATTTGTCATTTTGGATTATAATTAATATAAGAAGTGAAACTAACATTCAATTAAATCAAAAAAAAAAAAAAAAATCCGCGACTTACCATTCAATTGACCATTTTGTTCTTACAATTTTTATTTGCCACCAACGAATCAACCTTCATTTTTATCAACAAAATCCTTATTAATCTTCATAATTTACATTATAATTCATGCAATAAGTTTTTATTTTTCATCAATTGAGCAATTTTAAAGCTTCATGCTTTAAATTATAATTCATCCATTAAGTTATTATTTAATTGAGGTTACAAATATTTTAAAGGTTGCATTAATATATTAATGAGGACATTCAATGAATAAAAAAAGGAATTATACAAGGAAATTCAATGACTAGCATTCAATTGATTTTTTCCTTACAATTTTTAATTTTCATCAACAAAGCCCTTATTACAAATTTAATTAATATTTATAATTTGATTTAGAATTAATATAAGTGGTAAAATATTTAATTGATATTTATCATTTGGGTTGGAATTAATATAAGAAGTGAAATTGACATTCAATTATTAAAAAAAAATTAAAAAAATCGACGAAAATTAATTAACTTATCATTCAATTGAGTATTTTGATCTTACAATTTTTATTTTTCATCAACAAATGCCTTATTAATCTTCGTGATTTACATTATAATTCATCCATTAGGTTATTACTTAACTGAGGTTACAAAATTGAAAGATTGCATTAATGTATTAACGAGGTAACGAATGTGTTAAAGGTCGCATTAATCTATTAATTGGGACATTCGATCACTAAAAAAAAAATTATTGTTTATAAAGAAGTATTATTGTAATCATATCATTACATTTTAGTTTATTCAATATTTTCACATTATATACATAATTTCATAAAAAATATATATATAGAGATATATATACTTAATTATAATTTTCCCTATAACAATATCAATTACCTCTATTATTTTAAAAAATAGTATTTGTAATTTAAAAATAGTACGTATATTATTTATCGATATATAAGACGTGCAACGCACGTGTTTACTACTAGTAGATAGAAACGTGTGGTGAAATAAGTGAATAGTGCATGTAGATCGTGGATAAACAATAATTCGACCATAAACAACGATTACGTTGAGCATTGTAATTACAAAGTAAATTGATATTAACATTACAAAAATCATACGAAATTATTCTCAAATATCATGTATCTTCACATCTATTATTTTATTGAAGAGTATGGAACGGAGTGTGTTGGATCAATGGAA